GGTCCGAAAGGCGGTGCGGACAGCGGCGCCGGCGTGGACGACGGGACCGGCGGCGAGGAGGAGGCCAGGTCGCAGCAGCCGCGACTCCGCCGGGCCGCGGGAGGAAACGGCGGCACCAGCGGCGGCAGCATCAGGATGAAGGATTTTACGCCAGGAGGGGGAGCCGCGTCCACAGCGAGCAAGAACTCCAACAACAATGAGCTCTGCCTTCCGCCAGGCGAGAGTTCCGCACTTGCTCCTGCTGCTGCTGCCACTACAACCTCTGCCGCCACCGGCCAGGGAGATGGTGTGGGACTCGCACCCCGCGGCGGAGGAGGCGAAGGGGCACCTGGAGCCGCTGGAGTAGCAGCTGCCGCCGCCGCCGGTGGTGGTGGGTGCAACAGCACGGCCGCCAGCACAGGCATGAAATGCAACAAAAACGGAGACTGCCGGAGAGACCCAGCCGCGACAGGGAGTCTATCTTCTATCATCTCTAAGCAGGGAGGAGGAGGAGGATCGGGAGCCGAAGACAGGAGGAAGTCGGGCGCCTCCAGTTCCGCGACCGCCGGCATGGACGGGACAACCACCCCGGCCGGGTCGCTCTCGCAGGGTCTGGGGGGCGAGACCGCCAGCCCCGGCGCCGCCAACACAGCCCCGGGCGCCGCGGACAAGAAGGACTCCAGGGTGTCCTTCTCCAACGCGCCCAGCCGGAAAGCCTCTTCCTCCGTGTACGGCCCGGGCCAGGGCCAGCCCCCGCAGCCCCGGAACTCGGTCCAGTTTGTCAAGTCCGAGGACGGGACCCAGATCGTGGCGGAGGACGGGGAGCAGCGGGGCAGCCAGGCCAGCTTCATGCAGCGGCAGTTCAGTGCCATGCTGCAGCCGGGGGTCAACAAATTCTCCCTGCGCATGTTTGGAAGCCAAAAGGCGGTGGAGCGGGAGCAGGAAAGGGTTAAGTCTGCAGGCAATTGGATTATTCACCCGTACAGCGATTTCAGGTAAGGGCTGAGCTGCCCCGGCCGGGCGCTTGCCTCCAGGGGTGTCGTCTCACGGCCCGTGTAAGTAGCGACACGTCCTGCCAGCGGGTGTGGAAAGTTCAGGGGTGACCTGTCAGAGCAATGTCACGGGGCCGGGCGGGTCAGGCGGAGCGGGCCGAGTCTGCGCCTGCCGGCGGTGTGTCTCCTCGCGAGCAGAGGTGTCAGAAACCCCCCAGTTGTGCCTAAAAGCCCTTTGTCCCGCTGCGGACCCCGGGCAGCAGAAGTGCCAGCTCAGCTGGGCGGGCGGTGCGGTGCTTTGGGTTAATTTGCCAGGCTGGGTGAGTTACCCACACAGCTGGGCAGCGCTGGTGGTTGTCAGTACAGTGTCCTGCTGCGCCTTGCCCGCGCACTGAGCTCGGGGCTGTGCGTCACTCCTCGTGAAACGCACCTGTGCAGGCGGGCAGGACGTGTAAACTCGTCCTCCCGGGAATAGGTGGATGGCGAAGGCGGCAATCGTGGGATTTGTGGAATATGGCGGGTCTCGACTCCTGTAGTGTGCGCACTACACGACACGGTGGCTTTTGTGCCCCGGTCGCTGCGAGTTGGTCTTATGCGTGGGGTGGCTCTGTGGGCAAGCTCGCGCGCGCGCGCGCGCTCGCGCAACGGGCATGGCTGAAACACCCTCGCGGGTGGTCAACTTCCCAGCTCCGCGCGAGTTCAGGAAGATGTTTCTAGACGGGGGGGAAACCGAGCCTTAATGGACTGAGGGTTGAGGAGTCTGTCCGACGTGGCCTTGAGTTTTTATAAATCCTGTGTAAAAGCACCGACATTATTTTACAGGCCTGACCATGTGACAGAAGACCGGTCGTGCTGGGTGAATGCTCCCAGCTTTACAGTGTCGCTTTGTGTCGTTTGATACCTCCCAGGCGTCAGGTGTGGGATATTCTCCAGTGCTCAGGACGGAGGAGGGCGAGGGAGAGATCTCTAAGATGACACATGACGTGTCAGACGATGAATGACACTCTCTAACTGAAGCACCCGGTCTACAGAGCGTGTTAACCAGAAGCTTCTGATCTCACCTCACCGGGTTAAATATTTTACAATCTGAGTCTCTTCCTCCCCCTTTCAAAAATATATTCTGCTGTTTTACAAGCGTGCGCCTGAAATCCCCCTATAACTGCTGGCCCGCGTAAGAGCAGATTATTTTGCGTTTCTTCCCAAAGTCTGTGGTCCGAATGAACCCGTGTCCAGATGTGAAACCCGGAGCACGGCGGACTCTTTGAAACTCTTGCCTGATTTCCTTGTTAACGGCCTTTTGCAAGTCCGCCTTGCGAGTAGGTGCTGGCGGGCGAAATACGAGATTACTTGTTTTCCACTGTTTTATTTCTTCGAGGATTGAATAGTTAACAAAATACGATGTCGTGTTTTTGCTTCCTTAATGGCCACAAAGCTACAGGCCACGGGGTGACCTTGTCGATGTAAAGATCCGCCATATCGGTTCAGGAAACGGGGCAATATCAGGAATATGATATGCAAAGCCACCTGCCCTGTACCCGGGGTAGACCTGTGCAATGAGACCTCTGTGAGCCGCCACCGACCGTATGTGAGCCTCGCTCCCTCCAGCCCAGAAACCGCAGGCCCTTATAGATAGCGGGGGCTGTGGACCCTGTGGGTGCTCTCTGGCGACATGCAGGTGATCAGAAGCGCAGCGTTCGAGGGGGAGACAGTTGCACCCCGTGAATATCGGGGCCGATCCAGGCAGCGGGAGAGCCCGATGCGTATTGTAATGTACGTAATGTAATGTAATGCTGAAGTGCAGGAACGCCGAAGACTCCCGCGGAGAAATGTCACCTTGACAACAATGGGGCTTTCAGAAGCACCGCGTGTTCTCGAGATGCCCCCCCCGCCCCCCCGTAATAAACTCGCTCTTCATTCTCTGTCGGCCTTTTTCAGCGCCCATATAACCGCCGGCGACATTAATACGACCAAGGGGAAATACAGACGGGTATTTTACGAGAGTGCTAAGGGACTTACATCTATATATATATATGAGCGCTTTAGATTTGATGCCGTCATTTAATTAGTGTGCTGCTTTTCGTATGCACCACGGTCCACGCCGTAGAATTAAACCGAATTGACTTCCGCCAACACCCGCAGTTAGATTCCAGGGGTTTTGTCTGGGCTAATATATTGTATAATATATTGTATATAAGAATATAAGTGCGGGTTCTTCCAATTGACAGCAGCCAAAGCGTTGGAAACAAAAAAACGTCAGACGACGACGATTTACGGAGGACCACACAAAGAGGCGATACGTCACTCAGTTTGGGGGAAAAACGAATTTTGGAAGTCGGCTC